CCCCGATTTGCTTGAAGGCTCGGGGCTTCGAACTTGAACGTTGTGTGAGTGCTCTCGCCCCTTACGTGTGCTTGTGCTATCCTGACTGTGCTGCTCTGCGCGTGTCGGTATCTTCTGATTCTGCTTCTTCCCAGCTGTCCACCCTAAACCCTAAACCCGAAACNNAACCCGAAACCCTAAACTTTAAACCTAGGAAAGCCTCATTCTCTCCACAGAGGGAGACCGGGCAAACCGAAACCAGCTTGGGCGGGTAGTTCAAAACTAAGGCTCCCATGTAGGCACCCTACATTCCTAAAGCCTGAACCCTAATGACGCAATGAGATGAAGAAGCCCTGGTCATCATAACCCCAAAAGAATCGGATCCAGATTAAGAAGTCGCGGTCCTATAACCCCAAAATCATCGGATCCAGATATAAAGAGACCCACTACAGACCTTCGGGTTTCTTAAGCAGCTTCCGACATTTAAAAACCTTTGGCCTGAGGACCTAGGCGTGCCTCAAAGTTTAGGTTTTAGGGTTTAGGGTTTAACCCCCTTCAGGTTTTAGGATTTAGGGTTTAACCCTTTTCAGAGAGAGAGAGAGAGAGAGAGAGAGAGAGAGAGAGAGATTTGGGCTCTCTAAACCCCTTCCTTGCCGGATCTGGCCTTGGGCTCGTTCATCGCCAGGGTGCCGTCCTCCCACGCATCATAGGGTTTAGGGTCTAGGGCAAATATCATCATGCGCCGCTGGTCTTTAGGGCTTTACGCTCTCACAACTCGGACGTGCCAGGCGAGGCAGTCTTTAGGGTTTTAGGGTTAAGGGTTTAGGGGGTAGAGGTTAAGATCAGGGTTTAGGGATGTTTCTGCATAATGCAGCAAGGGCTCACGAGGATGTAGCCTTTTGTTGCAGGGATCCAGGGCTCTTTGCTTTTTGCTCCTAATTGCCAGGGTTGCCTGCTTCGCAGTTTGTGGTTCTAGCTAATACGATCAGGCATGTTTCCTGATTGAAGGATCCGGAGAAGTAATTCGCCGGTCAGGCAACCTTCCCACCCGGCCAGCGCAAGTAGTTCACGGCAGTTCGGTGAAAACTCTGCACCGGCTGCTCGCAGACGCTGCTTTCTCAAGGGATCGACGAGGGTTTTTGCTCAGTAGAATCGCACCCCTAAACCCTAAACCCTATAAACCCTAAACCCCCCCTTTAGACAGAATGCAAAACAGAAATTTCGGAGAGATCCCTAGGGCCAGAAACCATAAAACCCACGAAAGCAAGATACCCAACAAGCACCCAAGACAAGAGTTTTACGGATACAGTAGAAGCCCAAAAGTTGGAAACTCAATGGCCCCAATCCTTAAGAGTATTGTATAGGGAATCCCAGCACTAATTGTCCTTAATCCGGTTTCCAACTTTTTGGGGTTTGCTATAGGGGCTTTCCTGTTGTGGGGATCTGGGAAGGTCGATCGGGGCTTAGGGTTTAGGGTTTAGGGAGGAATGATTAGCCTTGGTTGTGGTGGGATAGACCGCTGCAATATTGATTAGGAACCCCAAGAAAGACCCTTCGAATTAAAAGGGCCCCCTGTATTACATGCTGCAGCTTAGGGTTTGGGCCAGGGCTTTAACGGACAGGGTTGAAACTGTTGGCTTAGGCTCTGCCGGGGGGTGCTATGGGATAAACTTCAAAAGGCTTGTGCAGCGACTTCATGATGAGAATAAGGTTTTGGAGGGCATCTTATCCGATGATTACATGTGGAAGATAAAGGGACCATAACCAGACATTGTCAACTCTTCCGACCCCCATTCGGCCTAGGCTTCCGGAACCGCGTCTGTCCTCCATGTGGAACATGATGGACACCTGCCTGACCCGGCTGTTCTCGTCGGGGCGCTCGGTCACCGTCTCCTGGAAGTTGCTCTGGAAAGTTTAGAGTTTAGGGTTTTAGGGTTTTAGTGTTTTAGGGCTCAGGGTTTAGGGTTTAGGGTTTAAGGTTTAGGGTTTGGGGTTTTGTTGTCTACTCGGTTTTGCCTCAGTCCGCCTTTGGGTCTTGGGTTTGGGGTCCAGGATTTTTGGATTTAGGGTCGATATCAAGTGCTGGGCCGTTGGCATCACGGCGCGAAAGCAGGGCGCTGCCACCGAACTAGAAAACGATGACGATGATGATGGTGCTAATGATGAAAGCCATAGCACATCCAAACCATATTGCAAACCAGAGTGACGACGACCCTCGTGATACTAGCCTGATCTCGACGGCGGCAATGATGGTTTAAAAAAATATACTTGCCGTAACTCCCACTTACTGCAACCCTTACCTCAAGCCCCGATATCTTCTGTTTCGGGACTGCTACTGCCAGGGTGACTGAAGATCCCTTGAAGGGCTACCCCATAAAGGGTACTATAGGGTTCTACAAAAGGTTCCCCCGTATGGGTTACTTCAAGGAAGGAGATGTTGCGTCGGCTGCGCAGGTGCCATCACGGCACTGTCAGAGCCACTGAGTTCAAGCGAAGCCTGACATATACGACGTCCAAAAAAAAAAACCCTTACATTCTTGGGGTAGTTAGGGTTCAGGGACGGGCTTGAGGCTTGGTACCTTGCGGGTTCAGGGCTCATGTCGCAAAAACAAATCTTGTCCGAAAGCCCCATGGCTGATGAGACCATAGCAACAGCCTGCAAGAATAAACTAAACTATCGAAACCTCATGCATGCAGACGCGCGTGCAACATGTCGACCTGGAAGAAGCCGTAGAATCGGAGAACCTGCCACATGGCGGTATGACTTTTAGAACACCTTTTCCTGTGATCACTCCCATGGTACGATTACCACGCAGACTGTGACCACTGGCGCTACCGGCACTAGTCTGTTTGCCCATATTGCCCTCGAAGTGACTCCCATTATTGCAACACGCCCTTTGGATGCGGCCGGACACCTGACAAGCACGGGCCACCATGGGGATCATGACTAGCACACAAGCTTCTAGTGCCACTATGACTACCAGTGTTAATTCTTGTGCCTACTATAGTATCTATTGCCGCGACTATAAGTAGTTAGCGGATACCATTTCCATTTTCTAACCATGCCCACCCCCCCAGGCCACCCGAAGACCCAAAACCATAACAACCTATACCTCAACCCTAAACCCACCGAAAGACCCCATCGGAAAGACTCACCTGAAGACCCAAAACCATAACAACCTTTTCCTCAACCCTAAACTCACCAAAATACCCTTGGTAAGACCCATACCATGGAACCACCAAGTAGGCCCTCAGCGGCATCTTTCTGCGTGATCAGCGGTTGGGCACGTCAAGGTGATTACATTCGTTGTTCAGCAGCTCAATCCCGTCCGCACCCCAAATCAACGTGATAGCAGCGTAGCGTCCTCCGAAGGGGAAAAAAGACGTTGCAGCATGTTGCCGGACACGAACTTCAACTTCACTTCACATCAGAAATGTATCGAAGGCGGCTGGGTGAGGTCCAAAGCCAATCACACCAAGATTTCACAGGCGGAATAGAACACTGCCCAAAAGTATTCGATCCACAAGCAACTGCCTCGCCGTCACTGCGGAGAAGCACTGTATGAGCAGCACCTGCAGCAACCTGGGTATATCGCAGTCCCCGACTCAACGGTGGAATGTCGCATCGTCCCAAAGTACTCATTCCGCAAGAAACAACATGGCCATCACTTCGGAGAAGCACTGTATGAATACCACCTGCAAAAACCTGGGTGTATCTCACACCGTCACCCAAGGGTGGAATGTCGCATTGTCCGTCATCAGTGCACCCACACGCAACAGCACGCCCGTCACTGCGGAGAAGCACTGTATGCTGATGACCTGCAGAAACTTGGGTGTATGTAATGCCCTTAGCCAAGGGTGGAATGTCGCATTGTCCGCTATCATTGAATCCGCAAGCAAGAGCACTACCATCACTCAGTAGAAGCACGGTGTGACGATAGCCTGCAGAAACCTGGGTGTACGTCACATCCTCAGGAGTCGGAGGAATGCTGCACCGTCCGTCGCGATCCTCTCCGCACGCAACAGCACGACCATCACTGCGGAGAAACGCGGTGTGGCAAAAACCTGCAGAAACCTGGATGTATTTCACTCCCACATCCAAAGGCGGAATCTCGCGCCGAGCGAGAGAAGCTTCTCCGCACCCAACAGCCTGGCCATCACTTCGGAGAAATACTGTATGGTAAAACCCTGCAGAAATTTGAGTGTATGTAGCGCCCCCGTGCAAAGGCAAAGGTGGAATATCTGTTTGTCCGTAAGATTTCAGTCCGACAGCAACAACGTGGCCGTCACTTCGGAGAAGCACGGTGTGACCGTAGCCTGCCGAAACCATGGAAGAAATGGGCAAGCTTCTGCAGCAACGGAGGCCAGCCAGCTGTTTGCTCGGATCCGCGTGACGACTTCTACGGACTACCGCACTACCCTTGAAGTCAAGGCAAATCATATGGGGGGGTTTACGATGTTAGGGCACCTTATTGGGGTCCTTACTATAAGGAATCCTACTATTTGGGGGGTCTATATTAGGGGTTTAGGGTTGAGAGTGTAGGGTTTAGGGTTTGTGAAAAGAGGGGGTCCCTTCTTTTCACAAACTACTGTATGAAAATGCCCGTGCGCCCAAGGACCGAAGCTGGAGAGTCCATCAACTCCACCCTTGTTTTGGGATTCAGGGTTTAGGGTTTAGGGTTCAGGGTCTACTGACTTTTTTGTAAGTCATCTCAGAACCTATCCTAAAGAGCACTGCAGACCAGCTCAAGTTCAGCGCCCGAAGTTCGAAGCCAATAGTTTTGAAGATCTGAATGTAGTTGCAACCCACCAGTTGCTACAGATTATAACTTCATTATTGTTACAACCTTATTCCTACACCTTATTCCTACTATAGTTACTTTTTTAGAGGTGACCATCTCCATCTTCTCGGGTTAGGGATTTCGGGTTGGGGGATATGGGTTTTTCTATGGGAGTGCGGGTGTATGAAGTTGAGGTTGGATGTTTTTTTTCTATGTGGTGGTGTATGGTTTCTTCTGGTGTTTCCATCTTGTGGGTTTTAGGTTGGGTTTTTTTGTTGGGTTTAGGGTTGAGGTATAGGTTGTTATGGCTTTGGGTCTTCAGGTGTCTTTCATATGGGTCTTTCGGTGGGTTTAGGGTTGAGGTATAGGTTGTTATGGTTTGGGTCTTTGGGTGGCCTAGGGGGGTGGGCATGATTAGAAAATGGAAATGGTATTCACTGACTTAAGTACCTAGTTTCATGGGCTCGTCCAACTAGCACCTTTCACCGTTTTCCTCCACTGATGGCAGCTGAAGAGACTGATGGTCGCAAAGACTGCCATACTACTCGTTTAAGATGCGCTAGGGGCCTCGAAGTTGACTAGCAGTATGGAACAACGTGGCATCCATCCTCCAACTCCAACGTGATCATCTCAAATCACAGTAGACATGAACCTGAACCTGTTTTAGAACTGTAACCTCTCTGATGCCACCCACAAATCTTAAACCGGTAAGTTCTCTCCTTCCACCCATAGGTTGTATCAACGCATATCAACGCACTCGTCCCCAGGTGATCTCAGCCTGCTTGTCGTGCTTCATCCAAGCCGGAGCTATTCGCGGCTGGCGCATGTTCCGCGGGATCATATCCTGTGACAGGAAGGGAAGAGAACTTCTACTTGGGGCTTTTAGGGTTGAGGGTTGAGTGCTTGGGGTTTAGGGTTGCAGGGCCTGTGCGTTTGACTTCCACAAGAAACCAGAAACACCAACTAGCATTCCCCATCGAACCATTCCGCGCTTTACAGCCCTTCCAAAGACCTATGACCTATGAGGCGTTTTACACAGCCCTCCTAGAGCCCCTCCTTTCCAACCCTTTGAAGCCCTTCTACATCCCTTACACAGTCGCTAGCCCCATGACCCCCTATCGCGAGCCCCAGAGTGTATTCTGTTGCAGCCCAAAACAAAAAAACAAAAAAAAGCAACGCCCTAAACCACCCCTCCAACAAATTAACGATAATATTTATCATCCTCAACATCGTCGTCGTCATCATCGTCGTCGTAGTAATAGTCGTCGTCGTAGTAGTCGTCGTCGTCGTAGTAGTAGTGGTAGTAGTAGGAGTAGTAGGAGTAGTAGTAGTAGTAGTAGTAGTAGCCGCCAGCAGCGTGTTTACCGTACCCGTGAAATCGGCTACTCGGGGGGGGGGGATGATGACGACATTGGTACACAGACACCCCGAACAATATCTCCACAAGAGCCGTTTTACTCGGTATTCCCAGTACTTTCGTGATGGCGGACTAACAAAGGCCTCATTTCGGTAAGCAGAGAACGCTGTTTATTGGGAGGGGTTGGGGGGGGGTGGGGCTGATCATGACGACATTGTTACACAGACACCCCGAACAATAT